AAAAGGATGCGGATGGAGTCGAGTAATACGTGAAAAAACTTCTTTCAATAGCAAATAGATGTGATTAAATAAAAGAAAATAATAAAGAGAAATTTACTTCAAATAATCTCAAGTATAGCATTAAGAGATTTTGCAACAACACTGAAAAAAGGTTTTGGTTATAATAACCAAGGCTTGGTGAAATAGCTTCAACTAAAGGGTTTAGTGATTATGACAAAATATTTGGTTAATGTTAACGAAATTTGTTAACATTATCCAAATTACTTCGTCATAATCAATAAACCCTTTAGTTGAAGCTATTTTACCAAGCCTTGGTTATTATAACTAAAACCTTTTTTCCGTGAATACGTTTCTCTGAATTTAAGATTATATTATCTACTGCTTCCATTTAATGGAAAATTTTTGTTTTTATTCAATAAAAACAAAAAAAATATATAAGTATTTTTGTTTGTATTGTAAATATAATTAACAGTAAACATAATTTGATATGTGTATAACGGACTACTTTTAATATATTTAAACCATTAGCACTCTGTGGTGGCAACTAGCGTTATTAGATAGTATGTCTTCTACTCACATTTGGTCAGTGCGCTCGAAGCTGTTATTCGTCTCGGCACTGTAATTTGGCAAGATAAGATTTTTTTCTATAGTTTTATCTAAATTTTGCAATTTTCAACTAGCCTTCAGTTTATTTGGTTTATCGTAATGAGTTTTACTTATGCACATATAAATTAATATTGTTCTTTTTGTTTTAAAGTAAAAAAAATTAAAAAAATAATACAACATAATTTCAAGTTTAGAGATTGATTTAATCAGTACCTAAAAGGCAAAACGGATCGAGCAAAACACATGGTCTGTTAACGACATTATGACTTTGACATTGTTTAAGCGTTATTATTATTATTTGTTAATTTAGATGGTGAATAACTACAAAAGAAAAATAAATCGACAGTCTTGGAACGAAAATAGTATGAAAAAATGCTATTGTAAAAGTTACTGCTGGTGCAATGGGTCTCAATAAGGCGTCGTCTTTATATAATGTGCCAAAAACAACTTTAAAAAGAAGACTGACTAAATATAATTCTACCAAAGATATTGACAAAGCCACAGAAAAAAAATGGATAGGTCCATTTTGCCTCCAAAAGTAATCCGTTTTACCTTGCTATGAATAAAAATGGACCAAAAAAATGATATTAAAAATTATTTAATATCTTTTTTATCTGTGATTTGATTAAAGTCTGATTAATAGATAATAAGAAGAAATAAATTTCTATTTTATAACATATATAATTATGTTATAATAATTTTATAATAAAACTTACTGTTTCTGCGCGTAAATATTTTTTTCGTTAAGTGTGCCGTTTTGCCTTCGTTTCCTCCACATATACAAACAGATAGATAGGTGATAGACAGACAGATATTATGGGAAAATTTGATGCAAATTTCACGAAGCATTCTCTATGTACGAATTGCAGGATATACATGTTTCTCAAAGAAAAACGTTAGAGACAGTCACTCGAGAGTATTTTCTTCTCTGATCGTTAGTAACGGTTCTCGACCGTAACAGATCGACCGTGAAACTGAAGCCATTTTTTATTCTCTTGCAAATGCCATAGTCACTCCTCTTAAACTCCTTAGAGGAAAACACGGTCAGTTCTGCAATCGGAAAACTAACTTTGTAATGTGTTCGACGATAATATTATACATACAATAAATCGTTCAACTATATATAACGTGAGGTACATGTCATAATCCACTTTTCAAGAGTTTTAATTATGGAAATCACTTACATCATAATAAAAAGTTTATAAATTAAAGAACTCGTATAAATCATAAAATTTGTTTATCGATATTAACTGCAATTCCGCAATTAATTATTATTCTAATTTATAATAGCTCTAATTATTATATTATTTGAGGTGCATTCGTTAAGAAATTTAATGAGAAGGAATTAAAAAGTTGCAACAGATAAAGAGTTATTTAATTTTTTAATCAAGAAAACATTGCTGTGAAATTTTTTTGAGAATCTATATCTGTTTTTTAAATATATTTTTCTAGGCCTAAAGTACTATGTATAATGTTTTTTAAGTAACAGCTACAGCGGACCCAGTTCTCTTCGCACGCAATTCAACAAAGAAGATAGAACATCGAAGATAATGCCTCTCGACTTCTCTTTCACATTTACACACACATATAGAAAACCAATTTGAGGATGTCAACGAGGATGCTTGAACATATGCGTTTGTAAGCCGCACACACGTTTTTCTCAAAGGTCAGTATAATATGGCGTCGACTACCCTCCACTTGTCTTTTATATAATACATCAGCTTATAAAAATACTCTACAAAAGTGTTATGTTATAAGGTAACTTTTTCTTTGTTCACGAAGAACATTCGCGACTATAGGCGCAAATCGCGATCGATCGATTGGAAACGCTTCTGTTGTTCCCTTCTATTCGAGAAGTAAAGCGATCTATTAGAATATCAGAATAATATAAATTTAATTATCTTCCTTAATCACATATATTACTTTATTATGATGGGTGTACTTTTCTTTCATTACAATGTATAAAATATGTATTTTTTGTGCACTTATTATATATAAATTACTATATGTGTGTATAGACTATTATACAAATTTATATAATTTTGCGAGTTTTACGACTATTTGATATTATATGTTTCTGAGCATCAACGTATTCTAAATTATTATTTAAATTTATAACTCTCTTTTTCTTTTTTTCTTTCACTTTTATTCTCACTCTCACTTTTTCTCTTTCTTTCTCTTTTTTCTATTTTAAATATTTGGTTATTATTTGTGTGTAAGTATGAATAAAACAATGTGTATCGATGAATTTATTAATTATGTATTATTGTTACATGCTTGCTATAAAGCACAATTTTTTGTGGATTTTTATATTTAATTTTCGTTTTTATCGCGGCAGTTTTTTGTGACAGTTGGACGATAACAGAGATATACGATATACTGCAATTGCTTAATGCGAGAATCTCGTTAATCGACAATGTCAAACATATGACACGTTCGACGATTAGCAAATACTTTTTTCTTTATTTAAAGAGTGCTGTTAAAACTTATGTAGTATCACATTGATAACATTTATCTTTATAGCACTTTAGAGAACTAAGGCAAATGCTACTAATATTGCTATTATTTGTATTGCACAATAACCAAGAATAGCAGATCGACGAAAGTCAAAGCACTCTGTATAAAAGTGAATACGAATGCTTTATTTGTGTGCGCGCCTAATAAATTTTCAATGTTTTAGAACAGCAAAGTTTGTTACCTACGCCAGTTGTGTTCTATGAATCTCCATAAAGATAACAATCTTCCGAGATCATAGATAAAAAGCGATTAGCGCGTTTTGGGGGTTCTAATTCGGTTATCACGTCTATTTCCTCGGGTGAGAATTACGTCTCCGCACTAACAGTGTCTATATCCCGATTCCTAACTAATATTATTAAGACATTACACATAAAACTGTTACATATTTCCCTGTCGATCTCGTATTATTATCAGAAATTGAAACGTTTAATTAATTGTCTTGACTGATTTCCTCGCTTTAATTGGTTATTAACTTATATTACACAAAAGGTATGCCTGATGATAGCTCTTTAATATGCGAAGGTGAGAATAGCATCTCTCTCTTTGGATATATTGTCTCTCTTGATAAATGATTCAGGTTCTCTCGGACGGTAATACCGAGAATAATGCACAGCTCGGTTGCTTAATGTATTCTGGTTGATAGAAAAAAAGACATTACAACGCTTCTAGTTTTTTTTTTTTTTTTTTTTTTTTTTTTATTTTTCTACTGCCGAACTTAATGATGTCGGTAGGCTTTTATTTTATAAGGACATTATAATGACTGCGACTTTTACTATAAAAACTGTACTCTGATAGTGGGTTTTTTTTATGTATCTGCTTCATGTCCTGTTACATCATGATCACTCTTGATGTGTATATAATTTTATGTGCGAAGTATTAATAACGTTAAATGTGTTTTTACGTGGACATATTCTAGAATGTCTTTTGAAATATAATGACATTTATCTTTTGCTTGCAAGCAATCTAAGTGAATTAAAACGTGAAGAAATGTAATCTTAAATATGTTTTATGTTATGCTTACTATGCTTTTCATTATATTCTTAAATTGTGCTAGCAGAAGAAAAAAAGAAAACTGTGTATATTCAAGTACTTATTTCTTAAATTTTGAATTTGCAATATACAATATAAAAACCAGTTTTTAAAGCTCTTCCTGGTCAAATGACATTTTTTTACTGCAAATGTTAAAGATAAATACTGTTTAAAAAAAAAAAGAAAAAATATTATTTTATCTTTCTTTTTTGTCCGGAAGGCTTAAAGAAAAGACTTATGTTAAAGTATGGAAGAAAGTAGTTTTTTCGAGTGTAAAATTTACGTTTTTATACATAAATCATTGATTGCTTTAGTTCCACATCAACCACCATTTATTACACAAGGTAATAACAGAACGCATCTTTAATTCATGTTTGTTTAATTCGCGAAAGGGTTACGAGTATCGACTCGCCCCATTTTTTAGGCAAGTCAAGCGATGACTACCAATCGAGGCGTAAACTGCGAGGTCATGGTTGGTCAGCAAAGTAAGTGAACTCGTCATACGTACCAAACGCGATATCGCGCCATCCGTTTAATAACGGCGATCTTATAACACCTTCCCATTCACCAGGGTGCGAGGGCACGTCATCGACGTCACAATTGAACATTTTTCGCGTGGGCGAAGTACGCGGTTGAGGAAGTGAGCAAAAAGGGGAGATCGCGCGCGATAAAAGGAGAACAAACGATCGCCGTTCATGTCCAGGTGCAGGCTCTCTTTAAACCGATCGGTGGGGGCCGTTCTACCCCTGTTCGAGGCGCAAGCTCAGCCCTCTGATTGGTCTTTGTGCCCCGTGACGTCACTGCGCCGCTAGCGTTACGTATAACTTCAAGCACGCGGAGCTTTGGATTCAGTCAGTTGACTGGTATTCGCCATACCGAGCAGGTCTCTCACTTTGAGATATTGAGGATTGCCGAACTTGAAGACGGATCGTCAAGCTCCTTCTGATCTAACTGTTACATCGCCCTGTCTTTTGAAGTCTCCGGTCTTACTTCCGAAAGGTAAGTTTTAATTTTTAATTTGGCAGATACATTTTTTAGTGTATTGTAAATAAGAAATTGTTAATAAGAAATGGAAGAAGATTTATGAAAAGAATAAAAAGAAATGCTATAGTGATTAAAAATTAATAATAATTAATTTTTTAAAAATATGGTTTATAGAATTAATCAATTACTAGCGTTTCTTTTTATTTTTTTCATAAAATTTACAATTTATGGCTTAAAAAGTGAAAAAAAAATATAAAAATTGTGCTTCTTATAAATCTTAAACTTGTGACAACCTAAATAATGTTCACTTGTACTTGAAAATGGTAAGACTTATATTTTAATAAAGACAGAAATTGTTCAAATAAAAAATATATTCTGTTTTACAGATATATAAAAAAATGCTTAAATTATTGGTAGTTGTGACCATATTTATGTTATAGGAAATTATATCTTTTAGAGTTAAAAAGAAAAGGTTTCAATCTCCTTTAGAACAGAATTAATTTAAAACAAGGAATTGCAAAGATAATGATCTTCATTATTGCATAAATTATGATAGAGTAAATTTGTTAGCCTTTTCGTAAGATCAAGAGTCAATTGAGTATAGCATGAATTTAATACTACCTTTCTTAAAGCCCTTAATTTGGCTGCTTTTCGCAGATCAAGAGTTTATGATTATACGTTGCGTGTATCTTATAAATTTGGCCATTATACTGATAAACTTTACAAAATGTACGTATTAAGACAAAACTGCCTGAAGATCTTTCACGAAAAGTTAATTATCTGTTACGTAAACTTTCTGTTAAGTAAAGAAAGTCATAGTTAATTATCTGTTACGTAAAAAAAGTCATAGAACAAAGAAAATAATAAGATTAATAAAATATAAGATAGATACCTTACATATAAATGATTTAATCCGAGTAAAACTTTTGAAACTAATATATGTGCAAATATAATTGTAGTCTTTTAGCATAACATCTTAATGCTTAGATCTACTTAAAACGTTTATAAAGAAAATATTTGAACACTCTTTCTACTGTGAAAATTATGTCGTTTCAATTTCTATTTCATATATTTTATTACATTTTGTAATGAAAGGATAAACTGTTTTTTTTTTTTTGCTAATTGTGAGGTAATAGCTTGTATTAGTTCGGTAGAAATTATTTATATTATTATAAATATTATTTAAGTTATGTCATTTTTGAAGAATGGAATAAACTGCAAGAGCCTTTTGTTTTCAAATATTCAGTTATACGTATGTACAAACTATACTTTGTTGTAACGACAGAAATCTATTATCCTCTTAACTCAGTTTTGTGCAAATTTAACCCAACATCAGTTGTTTAGTTCGCAGACAAGGGTCGTCGGGCAAGTTCCGTGCCAATGTTCGATTATATCATAGAAGCAACAGGCTTCTAATGTAATATGTGTAGTCTTATATGATAAAAACAGATTCTCTTTTTTTTATAAAACTGATTAAAAGCACTATGTTTATTCAACATTGATACGAGTTTTACGATTTAACTACAATTTGTTAATACATGTCATGCAACGTACAAATAACGTTACTTTAGTATATTATAGACTAAGAGCATTACGTGACAAAGTTTGAATGCTTTATACTATTTTATGTTGGAAGATATGCACATAACAAAAATGCAAAACGCATAAGTTCCTTAATTATATATTTTATCAAACTTTAACATGTGATAAAAGGTATAATAACAATATGTTATAGCAAATAAAAAAAAAAGACTAAAACAATTCTTACGGTTAAACAATTTTTTTAAATAATTCTGCCGCGCATACATTGATAACAATTGACTCAAATTATTTTTTTTCTGAAAATAATTAACATCCGTTCATAAACTTCAGTTTAACAATATTTCGATTATAAAAATATTTAACATTAAATTTAAAAAACACTAATATTAAATATATTTAACAAAATTATTGTTAAAATTTATATTTATTAATAATATTTTAAACATAAAGAAAAAAAAAAGATAAAAGAAAGAATGCAACTGCTTTGGATTATTGGTTAAAAACAAAATACGAGCAACGAGATTTCAATGTATTAAATATTTTTATTTAATATCTGGCCTTTATTCTTCATTCTGTGATTTCTTGCGCATTGACATACCATTTCCTGTTTTCTACATCAATATTTTCTGCCTTTCTAGCCGCTGTAACTATTCTGTAACATTTTAATGCAAATACAGTTTTTTAATTAACGTATGACTTTTAGATGACAAAAAGATAATAACAAAATATTTTCGACTGGTATTTTTTTAGAAACTTGCATTTTCCATATTTCACAATAAAAACATTTATTTGGAAGTAAGAATTTAGAAAATTAATTTACGAGTTTTTAGAAGTTTTTATTTGTTTTCAATTTAATAATTATTGTAATTTATTAGTTTTAGTTTTTTATATTTTTTAATTTTTAATATTTGAAATATTATTATTTGTATTTACAATCCAATTTTACAAATCCAACTTAATTCTGTAAACTGCAAAAAGCAGTTCTAAAAGCTGCTTATCTAACATTTGCAACACGCAAATATTACTTACAATATTTTTTGCAGAATCATTTCTTTATTTCTATAAAAGCAGAAAATAAAAATGCGGAAAGAGTGTTGAATTGTAAGAGGCATATGCCGGCCAATTCTATTTTCTGTACGGCATGAGGGGCGATCAAAAGCAATTTTGAGAAACGTCAGCCTAAATGTGGCTTAGTTCAGAGAATGGGAATCTCGCGCGGAGACAATCTTAATTCCCGATGTTTTACGACAGCGATACCTACCTATTCTCCTGCGACCGTTTCAAATGCGGCTTACACCAACGCCGATGAAGCACATACTTCACGTCACCGAGCTAACTCCGCTGCCCGTCGCTCGTTAGCGCGAAACACAGTCATCCACTATAACTAGCCGATGTGCTCCGAGCGGACGAACATCGTATTTATTGAACTCTACGGGACGTGGACGCGAGTATAAGTGCCGAAGTTTCTGTCGAGTGGGAGTATGCCCCGGGACGTGAAGCAACTTTTTAAATTTCATCGTGCTTGTCCATTCCGCGGACCTTTTTCATGTTTTTATCGGTTCGAAAATCGTTGGTTAAACTCGCTCTCTCTCGCTGGTCTCGCATGTACAAGCCACGATATTTCTCCGTGGTGAAAATTTTTACTCGTGGTGAAGTTTCCTCTGTCTGGGATTTCGTGAGAAATCTTTCAGGATATTGGCGACAGAATAATCGTTATTTCGATTTCACTATTGTAGCGTTAATCCTTTACTCGGAAGTCAAGCTATACTTGATATCACATTTTATTCCAGTAACTTAAATGTGGAGCTATGTTTGACATGGATATTTCTAAAAGTTTAACGTATTTTTTATGTTATTAAATCTTTAAACATGACGACGTATTATAATGAAATTCAATGTTTTTAAAAATAAAGGATTTTATTTAATTATCGAGTTGTTGAAATAAAATAGCGAATTTATTACAGAGTGCAAAGGATTAAGATTCTTCAATGTTTTTCGCAGGACTTCGCGCAAGAAAAATACCCGAAAGCTATATAGTTTGCACATTCTTCATTTAGTTTAGATCGTAATTATGTGTGAGTATGATGATTGATTCTATTAAAAGCACTTTTGAGTGCTTAAAAAAACGACAAGAGAGATGAAATGTTCTTTTTTATATTAAATAAATAAGTATTTTTCTATATTTTACGTCATGTGTATACTATATATAGATTTTCAGTACTGACAGTTGCTGACAGTAAATATCGAAATACAACCAAAGTTTCCTAGAGAATTAAATGACATTATTATAATTGTTTTATATTGATATTGTGCTGGTCAAGTATCAGTCTCTAATTGTTAGGAGTATAATTAGTTTACGTTATTGACTTACTTAGATATAGTATATGTTGTTGAAACGAGGTCCCTAGCTGGGGGCCGTTCCACAAGTTTAAATTGACAGTGATCGTGTATATAATTTACTCAGGCAAAGGGCATTCCCATGTGTGCAGAAATCATGAAAGTAATTAGCAAGTTTTGTATAATGCAATCTCTTGCAATAATTCCTCCAGATAATCTAATTAAGTCAGAAGATTAATCGGCGCGAAAACTTATAATTTATTCAAACGTTTCATTATCCAGCTAATTCTTATGCAATGTGCGGACTATGATATATTCCCAGTTCCCTTATGGTCAATCGTTTTAATTATTTGATTAGGCAATCGCGCTCGCGATCTGTGTGACCTGCAAATATTGCAGTAATCACGACTTGATGAGAAATAATATTTTAATAATAAATAACGTTTTTTCATATCTTCAGCAAATATTTTACATTAGCAAATATTTGGCACAATTTGTTTATATAACAAAGGAGACGGTTTAATTCGACCCAACTGGCTATTTAATAATATATATTCTCAAATACACGTTTCGACCATGGTTTGTGGTCCTTATCAAGAGTGCACTTGATATATATATACACTTGATAAGGACCGCAAACCATTGTCGAAACGTTATGTGTTTGAGAATATATAGGGTGTTTCTAAATATGTGGGAAGTATTGCGGTGGTAGATTCAGGACACAAAAACAATGAAAAAAGTTTACATAAACATATGTCCTATTTGATCTTGTTTTCGAGTTATAGCCATTTTTGTGCTTCAGTAATTTACAGCTGCTTACCTTTATAGAAGGTGCTCGAAATGGTCATTTTTGGTTTGTATTTATAAACACTGCTCAATATATCTCCAGAATATACTTTTCAATTTTATACATTTTATTGAGTAAATTATTATTAAGTGCTTCTAATAGAAGCAAGAGAACGAACTGAAGTGAGTAAACTCAATCAATAGAATGTGTGAAATCAACAAGGTCGGGAAATATTGCGGAGATATTGAGCATTGTTTACAAATACAAATCGAATGTGGCCATTTTGAGCATCTGTAACGTTAAGCAGCTCCACATTACTGGAGTACAAACATGACTGTAACTCGTCAAC